CGTGACTGAAAATAATTGAAATTGGACTGCATGATAAACAGTATTGCAACCGTACTCAGTGTTGGTTTGCGAGTGATTACAGGTCTTTCTCAAATTGCGGCATGTTTCATGCAGCACTCGCTATACTGAATACTAAATATTACTTAAATGAAGACGATTATAAGTGTGCTTATATGCGGTAAGGGACTTTTAAAGGGAAAATAATGAAAGATATAAAAATATGTGTCTTGCTGACTGACCGTTTGCTCTTCAAAGAAAATATAATCCATGGACTTGGAGATAGCTATATTTTCTATAATGGTTTGTTCAATGTGATAACTAAGCATTTGCTCAAACTTTGCTGAAAAAAAAGAGGTTATCGTGTGCCCTGTACTACTTTCTTTTAGTAGGGGTAAACAGAATTTTAACAATATCCAGATTTTGGCTTTTGAGGAATGACCACAGTCGCAGTGACCATCTGTTGTCTAAAGAAGTTACAGTAAAGCCTGACGCTATCGTATATAAAATTACCTAGAGACTATTCATACATATTTATTACATTTTTTTTTGGTACGGTTGTGTGTGACCGGTTTTCTACCCCTGACTGCAGTATTACCGCAAAAGGGACTCACTCTGCAAGCCCTTAAATGTAATCTATAGTACGGCTGGTATTTTATGCACGATGCTCAAATTTTCGAAGGATTTATAATTACTCGCAAACCGGTACTAAGTAGCTCTATAATAAAGATTATCAATAAGCCTAATCTCAGGTAATTTCAGTCACCATGAGCCTCTGTCTGACCGCTTACCAAAAGTATATCCCCCCCCAAAAAAGAGGCTACTTTATTAGTGTACCCTTATAAATTATAAATTTAAATATACTTTATAGAAAAAATTCACAAAATTATTCCCTCCTGTACTTGTTTAGAAGCAGAGTGCGCCTTCTTCAAATTTCAAATTCAAATTTTAAGGAAAGATTATATTTCGGTTTTAAAGGTATTTCCCAATTTTTGGTTTAATTACGTCAGTGCGATCTATCGTATTTCCTCATAGAGGAATATACTCTCCACTATTTCCTTTTGCCCACACCTTAAACAGTTTTCTCACCATTTCCATATTTTAAACGTCTTGGCTTTTCGTTTTACGAGGAGTACCAAAAAATAATAGTATTGCCTAGTACAGTTGCAAGGATTATTGGATTAAGTTTGCCTTAGAAGCACGAGCAGAAGTGTTATCGTGTAAAATTACCATAATCGTTCGGCGCCGGTTAATGTCGTCATAGCCCAAGAAATCATTCAGTGTATTGACGAACATCATACTCTTGGTGGTGTCCGGGCTGGCTATTCGCTGCTTATTGTCCTCATCAACGTTATCTAACATCAACTTTTCTTGCTGGCTACAGTCGTCAACTGTTGTCCTCTTAGAAAGTGTTCTCCATTTATAACCATTGGGGTCGACTTCGGAGGCATGACCATAGGACCTCATCGCAGACGTAATAATTATGTTATCTATCTGATTTTGGCAAACGCAGAAATCTTCTTTCATATGCTCCTTTCCCTAATAATGATTCGACCATTTCCTTTTGCTTCTGAAGGTCGGAGTCCTGCGTAATTTTCTCAGTTAGCATATTTGTGAAATTCAGAAGTGGAGGATGCGATCTCTGGAACAAGAATTTTATCTGATTGGCTTTTCGAATTCTGTCGAGAATCCTCAATCATAGGTAACTGTGGAGTAGAGTGAGGCATAGATTGAGAAGAAGTAGTTATGATCACCGGTGGAGGCTCGAGAGAGAGCTCTAATGGCAACGTGGGGGGACGAGTGGGTCCTCTGACTGATCGGTGTACGCGTCGATGTCACTGTAGTCTTATTTGTCTGAGCTTTTGAACTCTTGCGGAAGTCCATTGTCAGAGATAAAACCGTCAACGAAAGCGAGCAAAATTTATAGGGGGAAAGGGTCAGTTAACCGTCATAGGAGCGGGGAGGGAGGAGGGAGGGACAGGACCACCAGTGCCGTGAGTCTGGAGATACCTACGCAGGGCAACATATGCGGGCGCCAGCTCGATGCATCGGTTAACTGAGTTGTCATCCGACGCCCAGTTCTCGGTCCGTCTTGCTGCTTGCGTGCGCAGTTATCCTCGAAACTACTTCTTATCAATCTATGCGCATACCTGGGATGCGAACCTTTGCCTCAAGTATGACACATACCCAGATCGGGGGTGATCTATGGACAGATAGCGCGGTATTTATAGTTCTTAGCGGCCACACGCATGCCCACTGTAATTATCAGCTCCCGTAACCACCGCTGGGGGTCGTAATTAGTGCGGTGGTTACAGGAACTGATAATTACAGTGGGCGTGCGGGTGGCCGCTACGAACTATAAATACCGCGCTATCTGTCCATATATCACCCCTCCCCCAGTCTGGGCATGTCTCACACTACTCTACAGTTACCTCTGACGAAGGGTTCTCGACAGAATCCGAAACGTCAGGCAAATAAATTTCTTGTTCCAGCAATCGCATTTTCTACT